TCCCAATTTTAAAGGCCTAGTGAGTTCCTGGTCCTTTTAGTATGAATTTTGTTTATGGATGAATTGGTTTAATCATGAGATTAAGCCGATATATTGTTTTGATGGCATCTGGATAACACTTAGCTGGGAAAATACTGGAAATATCTTGTCACTGGCAAAATATGTTTTCTTGAAGAGCTATGGCAAAGACTTCACAAGATTCGGAAAAGTTTTACGCTGTCAGTTCAAAGTTTTGAAATTGGTAGGTTTATTAGACATTGCTCTGTTAATCTGCCAGAAAAATTTCTTTCTTGGCTTCCTCAGAAGTAATAGAGAGTTATCTGCATTGTATTCAACATCTTCTACTGAGAATAATAATGTGGATATGCAAATCTGTTGTCAATTAAATATAGTAGGTTTGATCCATTCTACTCTCACTTCTTGTCATACATTCTGCAAATCATGCATGTGAATCGGAAAAGAGCAGATGTTCACCCTTTCATTTTAAAGCATTTCAAGCTATAAAATATGCCACGCTACCAAGAGCTCTTTCTTCATATTCTCTGTGATATACTTTTTTAATCCAGTGATGTGGAGATTTTATTGCTGCATGTTAAAAATAGGTATGTTGTGCTACCACTGAAGAGTGGCTGTATTTCCAAAGAGGCAAAGTGACCTCTGTGCCTTGTGGAGTTTGTCAGAATTATTCTGGGGGTAGTTGGAGGGAATTTTCATATATGATAGATGCTACAAACAGCTGTAATACAGGGAAAGACAAGGAGAGTGTCAAGAAACCTGCAACTGTAATACAAACAAGGATTTCTAATGTTTTGATAGGAAAATACATTTTTATTCCTTCAATAGATGAGGAAACATTGCTGCAGGTGCTGATTTGGCATGAAACAGCCTAATGTTGGCTTGTGCAGCCCATCAACATCACCTTTAAGATAATGATGTTGCAGTAAGAATTGGGATAAGGTATTATATCAGCTAACTGAGTGTTCATTTTGAATAGTAGCTCATTTTGCTGTGGTTAAATTCAAAGGGCATTCTCTTGTAGAAACTGTGTGTCATCTACAGGAACAGCACTTTCTTCTCTGTTCGTGTCCGAAGAATACTTATTTCCAGCGTTGCTTTAAACCCCTTTAAAATAGCAGCCCTTGCGTGTCTATGACCAGGGAAGAAGAAAGATCACCCGCTCCTCTTCTCTCAGCCCACCTCCTTCCAAACCAAGGGGCTGGAGGAATTGGGATAGAGGTCTTGTGAGATATCCTGTGGCTACCTGCTGTGCAGACATATATCGTAGATCCCGCTGGTCCATAGCAATTTTATGGTCACTGCTTCTCTGAGGACTGGGTGACTCCAGCATCCTCCCTGACATAGTGCATTTTCACCTACAACCCAATGTCAAAATGAAAGCTAGGATGTAGTCCCTAACAGTAGAAAACACTGTTAATGTAAAGCGCAACATTAAAGTTTTTAGTCCATATTTTGGATGATGTGTATCTCATTTTGCTTCCAATTTTTTTTTTTTTTTTTTTTTTTTGAGAGAGAGAGTGTTGAAACAGATGATATGTTTCCGTTCTGGAGAGAATTGTGCTACAAAATATTTTTTTTCCTCTTTACACGCCCTGATTGCAGCCATAGCCCTTCTGGCCTAGGACTGCATGGGAGGTCGTAGAGAACTTATAAATTGCTGATTTTGTGGAGACTGCTTTGGGGATGGGTGTCACTGTTTGGGTCTTTCTATCTCTATGTATGTGCCCATGCAGCGTTTCCAGTATCCATCAGAGTAGGCAGCAAAACCCTCTTGCAGTGTTCAGGAGTGAGGATGTGCCAGGGCTGTAAATGACATTCTGAGAGGCAGATATTTGAAGCAGCCAGTAAGTGACACTAATTTCTATCAATTATTCTCTATATGAAGTTCAGGGGAATGCCCATGTCCTGCCGTTTTTTGGACATCTCTTAGCCAGTAGTATTGTATTTATGGAGGGCCATTAGTGACAATATTCAACTGATGTGTAGTTGGAGGGGACCAGAATTGTATTTTCTCTGCATTGACTCTACTACAGAGCCAGCACCCATCTGTGTAATGTTACCATACTTCCATTCCTCAGCGAAAATGCGAGTTGTACTTTATTGTATTCTTATGGGGTTTACCGGCTCTTCTGCTTTCACATAAATTATGTTATTTTTGCTATATTCTGTGAATCTGAAAAGTAAAATACATGTCCATGTACTATAACTGGGTACTCAAATCATACCATTCACATGCTTTGTTTACTACCTGATTAAGATGATGCAGAGTGTTCCCACCCAGGATTAAGGAATGAGGATTTTATGACCTTAGGGTAGCAGTGGTAAATGCTGGTGTCTGTCTTTGCATATAAATAGACACTAGAGGAATAGAAGTCTTACTGGACAAGCAAGTTGTTTGTATTTTAGCCTAAACTTTGCTAATACATGAAGTTATGATGGCATCTCTCAAGGGAAATAGTGGCAACATGTGAGAAGATGCTGGTCTTCCAGACAACATAGTTATGTCATGTGGACAATCCGCATATTTGCAGTATGAACCACGTTGTTCTTTGCATCTCTGTGAGCTTCAGGAATAAACCCTACCTGAAACAGCAGATGTAACCACATCCAGAGATTCGATGGAACCTCATACTAGGAAGGCTGGTTTCTCCCACCCAACTTGAAATATGATAGCGGAATTTTAGTATAAGGCTTCCTGGCCATTCTTATGCATACATCTTGATCAAGATGTGATAAAACAGATTTGGTGTCAACAAGTTTCCTTGGAAGTATTTATTAAAGTCATAGCTGCATAATTTATTGCAGTCATAGATTCCTGGGAAACGAAGTGAGCAGGTAGAGCCTTGATATTTTTTTATTGGAAGCATTGGAGTTTTATGATGGGGTTGTTGAGATTGCAGCCTTTTAAATGCGTTACTCATTTTTGTAGCTTTTGTTACCTAGAGATATTAAGACAGTTTTACTGTGTAAACCAAATACTCTATAACCTGCTTTTGAAAAGAAAGGTGCATTACTCTGAAACCCATGGTAACAACAGCTAAAAATTGAATACGAGGAAGCAAACGTAAGAGGAAAAAAAGCCTTTTTTCTAATGATTCAAAGTTTTGATGAAGATCAGTTGTTACAGTTGTTACAAGGTCAAGTCTTAAGGACTGAGTCTTCCTAGCTTTATCTGAAGGCTGTGCATGATTATACAGGCAACTGCAAATCTTGCCTTCTCCAGTATTTCCCAGTATTATAGAGATGTTCTAGTCAATGGTGGAACCCTTACATTCAGCTGATGGCGATCACATTCTCAAAACAAACAAAAAAAAAGACTGAGGCCAGTTACTTCATAAGCACTATCTTCTCATTTATAATTGAAAATGTCAGCTATTAATTATTTCTACTCTTTTTCTTAATAGGAAATACTGTACCAGCAGTGTTTGCCATACCAGCAGCAAACCGACCTGGCTTCACAGGCTATTTTATCCCAACACCACCCACTGCATACAGGAACCAAGCCTGGATGCCCTACACTGGAGAGAATGAATTACCAGGGCAGTGGGCAGACTCAGTAAGCATCCTTGATTTGCTAACTACACATATTTTCCGTGATTTGCACAGGAGACGTTTTAAGCAACGCTAAGTGATCAGTGAAGAATCTGAGCAGGATAATTCTTCCTTGAATGGGAATAATCTCTGGTAGTGAAAAGCTACGAGAGAGGACATAGATACTTTAGCTGTCTGTCTCGTGAACTGTAAGCAAGGCCTTTAGAGAGTGAAATCATTCACTAGGTTACTTGCTAACACCCATTCAAAATCGGTGAGTTAGGGACTGTTTTTATTTCCCAAGACAGAGATTAAATATTTGGATAGGCATGTGGCAGAAGTAGGTGATGCTGCCTCTCAAGGTGGCCTTGTGCTGTTTGGAAGCTGAGGAGCATCTTTCCCTCCTGAAGGCTTTTCTCAAGACAAGCCTGGCTTCCGAATCCTGGCTCCTGGCTCTGCCTCAGCTGCAGAGTCCTCCCACAGGCTGGAATGACAGATCATAAATTAAATAATCAATTGTACAATCCTAGTCTAAAACAGATGTAATTTTTAGCCCAAAGTATACCTACATTTCAAAGAAAGTAGGTTGAGACATCCTAAAATGAATTGCAGTAGTTTATCATGTTTGAAACCAATTTCTAAAATTTAGGGCTTTTTTTCCCCTAGGAAAAAAAAGATCAATTCTACTGCTTGAGCTCACATCTGGTATTTATGCAGAGCCTATTCAGCTAAAACTAGGAGATGGATTCTATTTCCTTGTGCATATCATCAACAGAATGTTTAGTGAATTGCAGTTGGAGTCTAATAGTTGGCCTCGAGCAGTGAAGCAAGACACAACGCGGTCGTATAAATGTTCCTGGGAGCAGCTATTTGTTGCCAAATCTTTAGTACTGCTCCTGATGCCTGTGAAGAAAAGAATTCAGTTTGATTGTGAGATGCAAGCCTGAATTTGTAGACTGAACTGTCAAGAAAATATAGTATGTTCATCTATAAGCTGAGCACTTCTGCTGATGTGCCCCTGGCACATGGAAGCTTGTCCAGGTACAGATTGCTCTGTCATACAGATTCCCCTTCCTAGAGCTACCCTTTAAATCATGGAAAACCTTTCTATTTAGTTGGTTTTTTTTGTTTTGTTTTGTTTGGGTTTTTTGTTTGTTTGTTTTAGCCCTACTGACGTTTTAAATCCAGGAGGCCCATTGTATCTGAGCAATCATTTTACACAACTTCTTTAAGAAGAAAACCGCCTCCACAGAACAGATCTGGAAAGTTATTTTCCCTGTTTTTTATTTTTTTTTTCCTCTTGTATCTGTACTTTTTGACTGCAGACCTATGAAAAAAGAGTCAGATATCACTTGCCAAAAGGGGAGACTGAAAAAAAAATGGACAAAACTGGAAAGCAAGTCTCCAGTCTCTAGTTCCTTCTTCTGTGGAAGAAAAGTGATGTTGTGGGTTTCCCTGTCTTCGGGGAAAGAGATGGGAAGAGCAGTTAGTGCCAGTGGACAGTACACAGAGGAGTGGAGAGGGATGTGAGAAACTGTCCAAAAAATAACTGTGGTAATATAGAATTCAAAGGAAGCAAATATGCCTTTTAACTTCACTTATCTGTTACAGAGCTTTAACAACTTCTTGTTACTCTGACTTTCAGCCCTTCTGTGACTTTGCAGGAGAAGAGGGAAAAGTGTAAAAACAAAGCACTGCAGCTTCTGCAATGAATCTGCACTTTCCAATGACTGCAAATCTGTCAAGAAATTGTCTTTATTTGAAAATCCTTACTAGAGAAGCTAGTAATAGTTTTAGCAACATAATACAGTCAGAAAGCCTGAATAAAACTGCAAACGAGAAAAATCTAAAGTAATACTCAGAGCTTGAGTTTTCTGGATGCTTTCTGGTTTCCGAGCCTCTAGATTATAGCTTGATCTTGCTTCCAAGGTTTTCCTGACAGTTAGTAAGAACAGAGGCTTAATATCTATAAGGTGAACATTGAAATTCTTTTTCTCGTGCATTTCCACTAGCTGGGCTGTAAACAAGGGGACATAGGAAACAGGAGATTTGACAACAAAGAATGATCTTATAAGCTCAATTTACTGTAACATTATTTTCTCAGTTAAATGGAAGTATTGAAGCACTAAGTTTTGTGGAAGACGAGAACTGTATTTGACAAAGCATTTATTTTCCAAATCACTAGATGCTGCTTAGTGAAAGTAGTAACCTGGTGGCCTCTAGTGGCACGTTCACATGTTGTACTACTAAAATGTTTGTCTTTCGAACAATCTTCTGTAAACTAAATAGAGGTGACTGCATTTAATGATCACTTTCATATCATGTCTGTTTTCTATGTTTGTCGCCTCACCCCATGCTGAACGTGCGTGACATTCTCTTTATTGCTCAATGGATATCCAAGATCATATAGAGCATGTGTAAATCCTGGTGGTCAGGTTTTCCTTAGATGCCTGACGCGCCAAGATTTTCAAAAGCATCCAAGGGGTTGTGGAACTCTCACAGGGCCAGAGCCAAAATGGGATTTAAGCAAAATTCCAAAGCTGTCGTTCTGAAGTCCATGCTGAGGTCCCCATGTTCCCCAGAACGTATATAAAACTGACAGATGTTTCACAGCTTGATGTTTCAGTCTGCTCGCAGACACCTAAAATTCTGAAATTCTGCTTCTGGCATACCCACCAAAGCCTTAGCCCTGGCTGGTAAAGCACCTTACACCTCAGCCTGACTGAAATCCAAAAATTAGCTGAGACATCTGCCTGGCTGCCTGTAGTACGTGTTTATGTAAGACCTTAATGTATTTGGAAAGTAAAAAACCTGTGGTTTTCCTGTTTAAAGCAAAAAGAATTACAAAGTTAACTTTTTATTGATGAAACATTGTGGCAACTTATTGGCTAACTTCTAAGTGTAGTATTCTGAGTATAGCCTAGGTAAGTCTAGTTTTCTGAGTCAATTCATATAAAAGCATCACTGAACTTTCCTTACTTGTCATTGGCGTGGGCTAGAACGATCAGCTGGTAAGCCTTTTCTCAGGGAGAAATTATCTTGTCCTAGTAATAGGTTGTGGGTTGCCTTCCGTAACAATGTAAAACCTTCTTCAAAATGAAGGGCTGTAGATTCTTGTTTTATAGACTTTTGCGAAACATAAATAAATACTGTTTTTATTTGGTGCATTAAAAGCCTCTGAGGGTTATGAAGACTGGTATCGTGGTTCATGGATTTGTGAAGGAAATTTCTTATCTCACAGTGACTAAAGGGCCTATGTTATTATTTTAGTTTTAGCCAATGTCACGTGGGGCTGAAATCAGGGAAGCTACAACGGAGTAAAATTGTGACTCCCCCATGTAATTCTGTTAAATTTGGCCAGAAATCCTGGTACTTCTGAGAAGTCAAACCTTGTTTTCAGTGTCGAGTTTCCCGGTTGGCATGCCTGAGCTTATCCATGTTGTCTGGATCTAGTGAGTTTTTGTTAGGAACAGTACGTCCAGAGACCTGTCCGACTTAGTGGCTGCAAATCAGCAAATGATTTTTCTGTTCTAGGCTTTTCGATGTCCTGAAACGTAGTCTTTAAACAGACTAGCTATCTGTTTAAAACTGAAATGTTTAGGAAGAATAGTAAGCAGACAACGCACTTTCAGAAAAGCCTCCTCCTTTTGACTTTTTGCAGTGATGACAAATTAGGACATGGAATAGTTCCCCTGCTAGGTGTTTTTGGTGCCACAGTCTGGGAAGTTGAGCCCTCGGTACGTTGCCATATGGACATAAATGGCACATGCTGAGATAGACATTTCTAAATGCACGCTTAGGAGTATGAGATGTACGTTTTTTTCAGATGGTCCTAACTGTTGTTACCTCTTCTGCCCTTGTGAAGTTTGTGTTCCCTGGCAGCTGGTGCTATGGATCAACTGTTCTGTATAATGTTGTATAATTACAATGCTCTACAGGTACCACTACCTGGATACATCGAGGCTTATCCGAGGCCCCGCTACCAACATAATTCTCCTTCGCGACTTCCTCGCCAATACAGCCAGCAAGCGAGCATGCATCCCAGCCTGGAACAAGCTCCTTTGCCATCCACTGCAGCTTCTCAGCAGAGCCTGACGGAAAATGACCCGTCTGACACTCCTCTCACCAACATTTCTACAGCTGCTCTCGTAAAGGCAATTAGAGAAGAAGTTGCTAAACTGGCCAAGAAGCAAACAGATATGTTTGAGTTCCAGGTCTAATATCTTTTGTGCACAGTATTTGTATCATGCAACCTGGGGTAGCCAAGAAAGCATCTCCTTTAATTTTCAGTTACAACCTTGCTGTGAATTGTGCCAAAGTGATGGCATTTTTCTCTGTCTGAAAAGTCAACACTATGGAATGACTTAAAGCAGAGCAACAGGACTCTGAAGATATGTAATTCTGCTTGCCAGCTAAGGAAAATGCTGCCAGGTAACTGTTTAATACGAATAAAATTGATTATATGCAATTGTTTGTCACTTAGCTCTCGTGCTATGACCCATCATCACTAGAGATGCTGCTGAACGTGTCTGCCCTACATGATGTTTCATTTGCAGGCCCAAAGGTAGAGCTGCTGAAAATAACTTCTGCACGTCAAAACTTTGATTAAAGAAGAAAATACAGTAGAACATGGTAAGTGTGGCGGTGGCCACGTTAATTGTTTGCTGCAGGACATTGAGTAAGGGATGCTGTTTTCAGCAATGCAGAGTCATTCAGCCTTTTCATTCTAGAGACCGTATTCAAACCAAAAGAATTTGAGATGAGTAAGTAATACAAATACACATCCTGTAAATAGCCCTGATTCTCCTCATCCTATTAACAGTGCAAAGAAGTGAAAGAAGAGAAGACTGCGAAGACGATGAATGATATTTTGATAATCGGTGGCTACCTTGTCCGTGAATGCCACTGATGATTTACGGAGAATTTTTTCAGCGTGAGAGGATAAAATGCACGAAGGGACAACAAAGGATATTGGTGCTAGAAGCTTCCAGGAGAAATGGAAAAAAGGTTATTAGCGTTTGCTCTATATTCAGGCTTTTCACTCTGAATGCATGTGAAGCTGGTAAACTTGAGACCTTTGAGCAAGTCTTTCCAACCTGGAATAATGAATGGACAAGAAAACCTCTGTTTAACACAGTGCTTTCTTTTCTTTCTTAAATGATGATATCTACTAAAAGTGATGCCAGAAAGTGCTATCTGAAGCTGCAGTTGATTTTGATTACACTGGAACAGTGAATGCACACCTAGGAAGTTCTGAATGTAGAGGACTTGATTATGATATTAACACGTAAATAAGTAACCGGTTACATGGATTAACAAAAATATGAATGTTCTGTGAAAAAGAGAGCATTTCCAGAAATTATGCTGACTTTATATTGTGCAAGATAAAGGTCACTAATTGTTAAACTGCATTGTCGTATGAATCCAATCCCAAAAGAAGCTCAACCCAGTAGAATGGGACAATAGTTCATCTTTTGCAGTTGTACAAACTAGTTGGAGATCGTGAACAATTGTTTTCAGTTCCTTTGGCAATTAGCTTCAGGAACTGAAGTTGTTGCAAAATCCATTGTGTTGGGCATGTTTGATGTCAACTGGAGCTAAAGGTAATGTCCTTCATTTCAGTAAGTTATTTAGTTATCCTCAATTGCTATTTTGTCTGATCATTTCATCTCCCTGAGTTTCTTTGGTCTTTACTGAGATGAGAAAGGGAACTTGGTTTAGCTTTTTGGCCATCAGTAAAATGAGAGGAGAAGGAGAGAGGAGACTAGAACAGGGGATAGAAGAAGAAATTGATGAAGCACAAACTTTTAAAGCAGAGCTGTTTTTTCCCTGAATAATTATATTATAAACTCTGACTGAGATTGTGATACGTAGTTATCCTAGAATATACAGATGTCTTCTCCTCCAATACCTTAAACATTGCAGAAGCTTTTGGAATGCAAGCTTATCTTTAAACAAATATGAAATTTCATTTTTATTATTTAAAAATCAAATATAAATAAAATGTATTTTTGTAATTTCTGTGTATATACGTGCTGTATATTTATATGTGACTAGTCTGCTATAGTCAGCAAATTTCCACAAACTAAGTGCAAAAAAAAAAAAAAAGAAAAACAAACAAACCAACCCAAACAAATCCAACTGGTAGTTTTAATGATCAGTATAAACATGCGATGTCTGGAGTACACAAATATACATTTGGGTGACTTGGATACTAAACAACCAAAGAAACTCAATCTTTCATATAAATATAAGTCCAGTAAAGACAAACTGCTGTCTGTTACCTGTCAGCTAACTAAAACTGATCATCTCAGTGTAACACAATACATCCAAATGTCTTTTTGTGTTGAATTAATAGATGCCTAAGAATATCATACTTAAAAATAACTTAAAAATACTGGGCCAAACTCAGTGTGCCATAAAAGACTAGTTCTGGTTGGCTTCAGTGGGAACTTCACTCACTAAGAGCAAGGCTGAGTTTCTCTGTTAGGATTCATCTATATGTGCAAGTTTCACTAGAATCCCTGGGACAATATTCTGCTCATTTTTCAGTCATATAAATAACTGTAACGTAAGTGCAGACATAATTAAAAAGCGGCTTACTTTTATTTAGCCTAAGCTGGTTCATAACTGGCTTAAGCTAACTTGCTAAGTGAAATCTACACTAAATTGTGCCGGTCACATTTTGCATCAGCTTTATTATCTCCGTTTTTGAATGATTCCTCTATTTAGCCCAGTGAAATTTTGCAAGTAGACAGGCCCTTCTATGCAATGGGAGTGAAATGTGCTGTGAAATAAATTCCTGTATCTTAGACTCCAGTTTTACAGAGTTATCCTAAAGTTGCAAGTACAGAAGCAGCAGCAATCATGTGGCTGGGAGTGCTGAAGCAATATAGCTGGAAAGGTTAATGTTACGACATATTCACAAAAAAAGTCACAGGAGGTGGGATGTACTAGGTTTAAACAGCAACTTGGGGACGTTTAGTTCTGCTTGTAATTTTGTACCAATTCTTAAATTAAAGAAATTTAGTAGTTCTGTCAAAAAATGTGTGAGGATGAAGCCAAGCATGTATCTTGCTGTATTGGAAATTAAAAAATTTGGAAATTACGTAGATTTATAATGTTGGAATGCCTACATGCAAACAACATGAACAAACAGAAAAACCCCAAATAAGAACATTTAAATAGCCTTCTAGAAAGAGAAACCATTTCAGTAAAGTTAAACAAAGTACTCTTCATACTACTGAGGAAGATCTGTTAGACTTTCAAAGTTACTTTTGTTTGGTATTGATGACGTGCAGTCTATTGAGTATTCCCTCAACCATCACTCTAAACCCATTGTGGTGCGCTTTATTAACAAAGACATTTTACATTCTTCATTCATAATGGCTTTTTATTTTGCTTGTAATATGTTTCTGTATTTTTTTTTTTAAGTACCAAGTAAGATTATATCAAGACAATAAGGACATTCCTGGGAAAGAAAAATCATGCTGTAATATTTATACTGTCTGAGCACAAAGCAATGATAAAGTGAAAATACAGTGTACAAATAATTTGTAATATAATAAACATTTTGTATGGCTACAATTACAATATAGTTTTTCAATATTGATTTCAAAGGAGAAAGTTTAAAGTTATAACCTCATCAAAATATGGTCATGCCATTTTTACTGATAAAAATTTAGTCCTTAAGATTTTTCTACTAAATGTCCCAATTTTCTTTAAAATTATGTTAAACGTTTAAGTGAAAATACTGGTTTTTGTGTACAAAAACGCTGATCTTCTGACCACTATTTGTCTTCAGAATTGTAAATCATCAGTAGAAGCATCTGCAAATGAAATGCACTTGATATCTGAAATGAAATTACTTCTCAATATGTGTGTGAGGACCACTCTCAGTAGTTATACTATGTGAGACATTTATTCAGTAGAACAGTAACTTTAAGTGGGTACTCTTTGATGGTTATTTTTTTGAGAGAAGCTTTAACTTAACTTAAGTGGTTTAACTTTAACTTTAACTCTTTGATGGTTATTTTTTTGAGAGAAGCTCTAGCGCTTAGTGCAGAAGTTAGAGTAATATTTGTATCTCATAATATCATGGATAGAACTTAATAGAAGTGCACGTAAATCCTCTATATAGAAATGGGGAAATTATCATAAGTAATGATTGTTTCTTTTTCAGGCTAACTTTGAAAAGGTGAGACATGGAGGAAAGAAAATGTAAGATAAAAATGCAAAGCAGGTAGAAACAGCAGCATTGGATTGAGTGGCAGAACAAGTGAGGCCTCTGTCTTGTTTAAGGGACAACCCATACAAACTAACTATGGTTTTCATTATGTTTCAAGATTTCTGACTGTAAAGAATTAATTACATTTTAATGCACATTTTTATTCCCACGTTGCAAACAGATGCTGGCGGTTAGCTCTTGTACAAGCCTGAAGGAGCTTGAAAGCAGCAAGTTTTCCGAGCTAGCAGGAGGAGTCACTTCATTTTGCTGACCTTGTTCATCCTGTGCACATTTGAGCAGCTCTGAGTACTTTATCCAAGGATGCTGTAAATCAGTTACAGACCTGACCTTGCATTTCTTGTGCATAAACAAATCTCAGTGGCTTCCCATACCTCACTGACATGAAACAGGATAGGAAGAGAACAAGTGTGAGATAATATGAAGGATATTAACAGGTCGCGTATACCTTAACAGTCTGGAAGCCATGGCTCTTCTGTTGCACGCTAACTCATACCTACTAGAAAATGGTTGTGTTTGGCAGTTGTCCTTGGCAAGGTACATTCCTTTTATTGTCAGTGACTGATATGTGTAAATTAAGACTCAGTCCTATTACAAGAAAGCATCTCAATTAATGCTTCCACTCCTTTATGTAAGCCATATGTATTCTCTGTGTCGCTCCACATGAGAGAGTGGCATAATTAACGCAAGTGGCTTCCAGTTACTCATAGTAATCTCTTGTAACAAAACACTGAGTAGTAGGACATCTTATATATTCTGCTAGGGGAGGAGGGGAAAAAAAGACATGATCATACAGTATGTTAGCATATTAATACCATTAGCCTTTTTTTAAAAGCTTTGTGAAAAAGGGGCAAACGTGGTCTGCTAAGATCAGGACTTCTCACCAGTCAGAGTGTGCGCAGGGCAAGAGCTCCCTTCTGCTCAGTGTGCGGCTACAGCTGATGGAGAAGATCTCTCCTCTCACCACTTACCACC